TAAAAAAAATTTGTTTATTTTTTACAGAGGAATCTCATTTACTCTCAGGGATTAAATTTCCATTGATTCTAATTTGTGTGAGAGTAAATGATACATTTCCTTTCATTTTTTTCTATGTCAAGTTTTAATCTTACAAAACATTCTATAAATTTTACACAATCATCTACCTTAAATTGATAATGGTACAGATTTATTTCTCAGCTTGATTAGGTATAACTTTTATTTATGCTTAAACAAATTCAAGTAGGTGTATGCTTTCAGCCTTAAGAAACTAGTGAGCTTTCGGGTTATACTTCTACTAGTTGGGGATAGAAAATTATGTTACTCCTCAGAAACGGTGTTAAGTTAGATACTTTCCCCTAAGGCATTTTCCCAAGGGTATTTGACCAAGGGGGAACTTCCCAAATGTGCAATTTCCCATGTAGCAACTTCCCAAAGATTATGTTAGGCATTCTGAGGCGCCACATGCTGTAAGGGGCCGAGAACTGTGGCTAGGACTGACTGGGAAAATTTCAGCTTGAGAAATTACACATTTGGGAAGTTGCCACCTGGGAAAAGGTCTTTAGAAAATACCTAATATGCCAAAACCATGTTAAAAAAAAGATAAACATCTGTTTTCACAGGACCCAAACTGTGTTCCATATGTAAAATCATGAAAAAATTAGACAATCTTAATAAGAAGTTAAATTATTCTTAAATATAATTTAGAAATCCATGGATCTAAGATAAAGTTAAAAGGTTTGGGTGAAGAGGATAAATCCTGGATCTTTAAACCTTTGATTAATGAACCAAACGCATTCAGAATCATTTCTTCAGAAATAGAAATCTATCTTACAATCTACAATCCATTTAAATATGTATTGATAAATCTATTTCTGTATTTAATTTTTTTTCATACAAAGAATTTCAGCACTATTCAGTAGGAAACCTTTGATTAACTGAAAGTTTAAGGATTTTCAGATCACATTCTAGCGGATTTATAAAAGTCAATTTATCTATTTATAATTCTACGTTCTTCATCTAGGTATCTTTGCGTGTCCATATGTGTCTGTTTGTTTGTATCCAACAAAAGTCAAAACGGCTGAACCGATCTGGCCAACATTTTTTGTGGGACCTTAAGGAAGGTTTAATGATCGAATTTTCAAAAAAAAATCTCTGACAAAGTTATATATTTGAAGATTTTGAAAAAGCGCGAAAAATTTTTATAAAATCCTTGAAAGGAATTGAGTCTTTGTAACAAACTCTGATTTTCTAATACATATATTTTTCCACATGATGGTGTAAATCTTTGATATTTCAAACTCAGATTCTTTCATTTAACAGAATTCATAGTTTGATATATCTTAGGTCTACGGCATTGGGTTGCAAAGATATAGAGATTAGAAAATCATAGTTTGTGACAAAAACTCAATTCCATTTGTTTGTTTTGGTGTTACAATGTATACAAAGAGATAATGTTCACAAATTAAAAAAGAAGCCTAGTTTAGAACAAACCACAATTTAAGATCACTATTTTTTTTACCCTAAAACTTTCCAAAATTTTTGTATAACATAAATTTTTGAAAATAATCGATAACAGAGCTTGAAAAGGAAAGCAAGATTGTATAGCCAATTCCATTTTTAATAAGAACCATATTTTTTTGTTTTGCTTTTATTTTTTGACTATACAAACGGCATGGTGCTTGAAAAATATTTAACAGTTCCTTGGTAGTAGGAAAATTTATATTTTTTTCAAAATCTAAAACTGTTATTTCCATTTAATATATATATTTTCATACATCAAAACTCCCCTCTCCCTCTCTTCTTTCAAATCAGCTAGTTTGGAAAGTTAATCTAGATAGAAAAATTTTACTAAATTCCAGAAAATATTTAAAATTGAAATCCTTCAAAACAAATTGTCTTTTTTCAAATGTTCTCATTCTTTTATCTGTGTAACAAAATCCAAGAAATAATTTACAAAGCTTTGTGGAAAAAAAGAACAATAACGATGCGTATGTGGAAGGTAGACATCAAATTGCTGAGGAAAGGACGCATGCTCCAATCAGATTTTTTGTACTGTAGTGTACTGTCTTTGGGCGGAAAAGTAAACACAAGATGGATGTTGAAGCCTGACATGAAATCCATTTTCACAAAAATAATCTATGAAATATTCTGGTCTTAGGAAACTATTATATAAATTTTCAAAATTATCAAAATTAAATGTTTTTAACCTCCTCGGATACTAAACGAACACTCGCTCATCTATTCTTGTTAACAAATTCCGCCCAGAGAGAACTGGTTTCAATATGTACGCAGAGTATACGCGAACGCAATAAACTTTCCTTGCATTAGTACCTTGCAGCACCGGACCATCAAGATTTCAATTGATATGATTTTATAATTACATAACATCTTATACTTTTGGATTGATTTGAATTTTAAATCAAGCGATCAGAGAACTCTTGTGGTGAATCCCCTGCTACGATTCCTTAACTGCTGACACCAATCACATTTCTGCTTATTCTAAGAATTGTCCGACGTCCGTTGATATCAATTATCAATTCGAATTCTGCTTGATTTAAAAAATTGTCTTAATTGATTTAAGTATTTTTCTGTTTGATCTATTTTTAAAACGAAAAACTCGACTTGATTCTAATTTCACTGAAATCACTTAGTATTTTGGATAATTCAAGTATAACATTAAAAGTCAGTGAATATGCGAAGAACCAAAGTCAAAGCCGAGTGTCTATACAATTATAATGGGTTCTGCGTGATGATATTGAAAACAAAAATTCTATATTGAAAATAAAACTTTAGATTGAAACAAAGCCATTAGCTAAGAATGAGTTAAATATATTGAAACATAAACATATGCTATATCAACACAATTATATTTGGACTGCTCAGCAAGAAATTCTCCAACTGGATCAAACACAAGGAATTATTCATGGAGCAGCTCCGGTAAAAAAGTAGCAGCTAGGAAGATAGTGGACGATCCAGATAGACCTCTCACAGCCTTGGGAACCCAGTAATAATATCGTTGTCACGTGATACAGACGGAAATCACGTAACCAGTATACTACACTGCCATTGGCTGAAGTTCTGGTGACGTAACACGAACTATACGAACTATATTTAATATTATTATCAATTATGTCTATTGAAAATGCAAAATAAAAAAATGTTATGATAGGAGCAAACCTGAGATTCTCAGGCTCCAGTGGGATATCGTCGTTTTCAGATTGGTTGCGTATTTGTTGAATATAGTCTGTTTAAACATTCAACTTTTACACAAAATTGCATATGCATATGAATTTTCGTATAAATTGTACACAGTTTTGTATGAATTTCTCGAGACAGGAACATCAGATAGATGTTTTATGTATCATTTAACGCGTGAGATTCTCAAGTTTCATCCTATACCCCCTTCCATTTTTCCTTTACAGTCCCTATAACTGGAAGTAACTGGAAATATATAACTGGAAGTAGCTGGAAATATATAACTAAAAGTAAATGGAAATATATAATTGGAAGTAACGGGAAATATATAACTGGAAGTAACTGGAAATATATAACTGGAAGTAACTGGAAATATATAACTAAAAGTAAATGGAAATATATAATTGGAAGTAACGGGAAATATATAACTGAAAGTAACTGAAAATATATAACTGGAAGTAACTGGAAAAATATAACTGGAAGTACATGGAAACATATAACTGGAAATAACTGGAAGTATATAATTGGAAGTAACTGGAAGTATATAACTGGAAGTAACTGGAAATATATAACTGGAAGTTCTTTATAAGTATCTTGTATTAAGATGATCTAAAAACCAAAATACAGTTAAACAATATTTAAGACGACATTTACTAGCAGCCTTCCTTGTTTTTAATCAAAACTTTTTGAAACAAAAAAAAACTATGTATATTTTTTAATGTATATGGATCGAAATATGAAAACTTGCTTTGATTTAGTTTTCAGAATTAGCCAAATTAGCCAAATTAACCAAAATTATCTTTTTAGTTTTTAAAATTATTTTTTCCCCCAAAATAATAATCCTTATGTTTTGAAAATTCAAAACGAAACATAGCTATTAGGGTTTCTAGCGAATGAAAACTTTCGCAAATTTCGCGAAAAAACGTAAACGCGAAATTCATCAGTATTGTAGCTGTAACAATTAGTTGCGCAAAAAACTTGAAGAATTCTCTGATCCGAGAGCTCAGCGTTAGAAGTTTTAATATATTATAATTAATAATTTCTCGTCATTTACTTAAATAAATGTCTGATGAAAAGAATTTAATCTATCTATATACATCTTTCTTTCCGTCTGTCCACGTCGGTTGACCCAAAGACAGCCAGGCCGGCCATTTAATCTGAACTAAATAGATGCCTAACGCTAATTTTTCTGTCTCAGTTTTCCGCTAAACAATTTCCATTTTTCACTGGAAACCTTAGTTTATATACAAGAGTACACATTCCGTAGATGCCCTCCTGAAAACAAATCCTAGGAATTTTAACTTTGAACGGATTTTCATGTTTACAGAAAAAGGGAAAATTAATATTTGTTTATTTTTGAATTTTAGAGAAATCTGAGTTTAATCTGGGATTGGAAAAGGAATCAAATTTAAACAAAACTTTGCAATTTTATTTTATATTCACATTAACATTTTTACAGAATTTAATTTAATCGATAAATATAAACGCGGAGTGATTTATAATACTTTTTATAATAATTTTTTTCCTGTATTTATTAATTCATCTTAGCTGGCTCCTCAAGCATAACAGACTTTTCTTTATTTGTATACAGAAACCATTGTAATTATTAAACACTTTGTTTGCAGTCTGATTTATATTTATAAATATTAACGTTTTAGATGCGACAAAATATAAATATTTACATTCAAATTTTCGCAAACCATGTTGGACAAAGAATGTTCTAGATTTTCCAGGAGTTCACACAATACGCTAGCATACACTTCAATTTACTCACTCAACATGTAAGAAATAAATCTTGAAAGTTTATGAAAGGATATATATATTTTTATGCGATTCATAATAATAAACTTCTCTGAACTTCTCTGAACTGAATTGTGTTTCTTTAGATCAAAATTTCTGGATTTTCTAAAAATAAAAAAATCATATTTTTTACCTCTTTATAATCATTTTAAAGATATATTAATATTTCAATTAAGTAAACCTGGAATTCGAATAATGGGAGCAGAATTCATCTCATGCTATAAACCCACATTCAGCTCTACCATCCTTATTATTATTATCATCATTATCATCATTATCATCATTATCATCATTATCATCATTATCATCATTATCATCATTATCATCATTATCATTATTATCATCATTATCATCATTATCATCATTATCATCATTATCATCATTATCATCATTATCATCATTATCATCATTATCATCATTATCATCATTANCATTATCATCATTATCATCATTATCATCATTATCATCATTATCATCATTATCATCATTATCATCATTATCATCATTATCATCATTATCATCATTATCATCATTATCATTATTATCACCTTGACTGTATAAAATAGTGTTGTTTCATAGGATCTTTTTTCTTTATTTTTGGTAAACGCCCCCTTCCTTCAAATCTATAAAAGAAAGAGAAAATAATCTGTTTAATGGCCAGACTTTTTTAACGAAAATGTTTCATCCTTAAAGGGACTGTAAAGGGAAAATGAAGGGGGGTATAGGCTGAAACCTGAGAATCTCAGGAGTTGATGGAGACATATAAGACATCTATCTGATGTTCCTGTCTCGAGAAATTGATATTAAACTGTGCCAAAATTATAACAAAACATATATATGTAAGATTTTGTATAAGATTCGTAGTATTAAGCAGATCACATTCAATAAATACGCAACCAATCTGGAAACGACGATATCCCAGAGGAGCCTGAGAAACTCAAGTTTGCTCCTATTAATATTTGAATTTAATAAAACTTTCATTTTTAATAGATATAATCGATAATATTATTTATGCGTCCGGAACATGTCACCAGAACTCCAACCAGTGGCAGTGCAGTATTATTGTCACGGGTCTCCGTCTGTATCACGTGACCAGTATATTGCACTGCCATTGGAAGGAGTTCTGGTCACATGACATGGACGTAAATCTATACATATATACGTTTTGGTACAAATTTTACACAGTTTTATGTCAATTTCTCGAGACAGAAACATCAGATAGATGTCTTTAAGTATCGTTCAACTCCTGAGATTCTCAGGTTTCAGCCTATTATATCCCCTTTCATGTTCCCTTTACAGTCCCTTCAAGCAAATTAGAAGCAACAGTCAAACGAAAAAGATTTAGAAGATCAAAACTCATTCAGTAATTATTAAATTAGAACATCATGCGGCATTAGAAAGGTAGATTTTTCAATTTTTTCAAAACATGTTGAAATATGCAAAACATGTTGAAATATGCAAAACATGTTGAAATATGCAAAACATGTTGAAATATGCAAAATATATTGAAATATGCAAAACATGTTGAAATATGCAAAATATATTGAAATATGCAAAATATATTGAAATATGCAGAATATATTGAAATATGCAAAACGAGAAAATGCGGTTCGATTACCATCTGTTTCTTATTATTTAAAAAATTGTTTGAAAGGCCAAAAACTAATTTGTTTATGCACTCTGTTGAAGACCAAGGTTTTAACCTAAATGTTTTAAAAATTTCAACAGTATAATTCAAAAATGTTTAACCCAAAATAATTTTATTTCACATTAATTACAAAATAGATTTAAAAGTATGAATTATTTACCTAGCAAACAAGTTCGGATAAACGAGAATTATTTACCTGGCAAACAAGTTCGGATAAACGAGAATTCGTTTGATTCCTCTCACATGACAGATATAAACGCAAACCTTCAAAATTTATGGTTTTATTTCTTATTCTAAGATTTAAGAGTTTCTTTAAAAGTTGATAAAATTGAAGAGTCTAAATTTATGTAAACCGTATTATGTCAAAAATATTAACAAAAAATCCTCCAAACGTTTTTAACATCAAGAATTTTCTATATTTTTGTTAATCCTTCAAAACAAGCAGTCATATATTCTAAAAATAGGCGTTACCAAAGTAATTCCTAAAAGTAGGGGCCAGCTTAGTAATAAAACATTATCCCAGCAGTCAACCTTCAGATCACAGGTATCTGAAAAAATAATAAAAATAAAAGT